GTGCATGTACCTAACCCATGCTCCTTCACCCTTCCCCGTTCGCCTGCTGTTATCTTTTATTTTGCTCTCTTTTATGGGTCCCCATGTAAGAGAGACCCTACAATATTTGTGTGTCTCATTTGTTTCACTTACTATTCGAGTCTCATGATGCATCCATCTTCCTGCCCGTGACTGGGTTTATCCTTGACGGTAGTGTAGTACTCCAAATACATTTTCTTTACTCATTCATCCGTTGGACATAGAAGTTTTTTAAGGTGGAAAAATTGGTTTGACTTGACATCTTCTTATATTCTCTCTTAAAATAGGTTTCAAAAGTAATAAATTCTTTCCTGCAGTGCTTCATTCTATAACATTTGGAGGTGCTGAGTTTTCATTTTCATTTATCACAGAATATATTCTAGTCCCTTTATGACTTTCCTTTAAGCCACATATTATACAATGTGGCCTGGTTACTTTCCTCTCCTTGCCCTCCTTTGCCCAGGATGAGGATATTTAAAAAGTAGAAACCCTGGCTCCCTGCGAGTCTCTCCCTTAGAGGTCTAAACTTCTTAAGTTGGCACAATGCATTAACCATAACACAATGTGTCATTCTGTATTCATGTATTTAACTGCCCACCTTCGCTTCTATTTATAATTTTCATCAGAGAACTTGCCATTTCTCTTGGTGAGCTGCATGTCCTTGAAAAATGTATTTTGTGGTTGCAGAATGTAATGTACAGATGACTAGGCTTATGTAGATTACAGTATTTTAACAGCTTTTTTCTAACTATTTTACCCCTTGTTGAAAACAGAATCAGCTTGTCTTTCTATTCCTGTCATGTTTACTTCATGTATTTTGGTTCTCTGATACAAATACATGTTCAATCATATGTTCATAATTGTATCATCTTAATGGATTGAATTTATGAGACGTACGTGTCTTTGGAAGGACTTTAAAGCTTGTATTGGCTGATTCTAGAACAGCCCCTGCAGCCAGGCATCCGCCTCTCCCCCGCCCTGTGTATTGAACCAGAGTCTTCCTCTGACAGGCGCCGCATGGCCAGCCCTCCAGCTCGACTTAACTACTGTGAGCATCGGATGCATTTTCTGTCCCTTCACTTTCAGCCTATGTGTGTCTTCAAAACTAAAGTGGGTCTCTTAGAGAAAGCATGTAGCTGAACCTTTATAAATCTAGTTAGACATTAGGCCTGCCTAGTGCTTGTGTCATGTAAACCACACACATTGGATGTAAATATGGCTAAGCCAGGATTTGTATCTACCTGTCTGTCTTTGCCCTTTGTATTTCTGTTTACTCATTATCAGCATTTTTGTGTGTATATTTTCCATATATATTTTCTAGTTAACCTTTGCCCTCTTTTTGTTTTTATTTTTATTTCATTTTATTTTTTACTTTTTGTCTTTTTGAGACTGGGTGTCACTGTGTAGTTCAGGCTGGCCTTGAGCTCGCTTTGTAGCCCAGGCTGCTCTGAAATTAGCAACGATCCTCCTGCCTCAGCCTCCCGAGGGCTGGGATTACTGGCACCACCACAGTAATACTCTGTATTTTATGCTTTATGGAGTTATTTTCTCATTGCCTTGGGGATTACAATTGACATTTTTATAATTACTTAGAGTAATATTTAATTACAGTAAAAATGGAAACATTTTTGTGTGTTGCTTTTTTTTCCCTTTGTATACTTTTTTTTTTGGTGCTGGGAGTCAAACTCATGACTTTGTGCTTACCAGAAAAGTTTGTGAACTGCTGAGCTAAATCCCTGGCCTTGCATACTTTTTATACATTGTATATACATTAATGAATTTATACCAATTGTCTTTTAAATCAGGAAAAAGAAATTCATTCTTTTATGTTTTATAATGCAATTATCTTTACTGGTGCTCTTTTTATAGTTGGGCTTGGGTTACTTTCTAGCTTTTTTTTTAGTTGAAAGACTTGTTTAGTTTTCTTGTAAGTCAGGCCTGATAATAAACAATCAGATTATTTATTCATTGTTGATCTACTAAACATAGAATTCTTGATTCATCGTCTTTCTTGCAGAAGTTTATTATGTATTTTTAAATGATACATAAATTGATAACTATAGTGTTTCAATACGTGTATGCGTTGCGCAGTAATTAAATCGGGTATATATATCCACAAGCTTATCATTTCCTCCCTAGGGGGAAAACACTCAGTCTTTTCTGCAGCTTTTTGAAATGCATAGTAGGTAGTTGTTTTCAGTGCCACCCTGTCTCATCTAATGTCACAGCACTTTAATCCGTGCCCCCACTGGCTTTCAGATGCCATCAGTTCCAATGAGACATCAGTTGTCAATCCTGTTGAGAATTCTATTTGAGTTGTCTTTGGCCGTAGTTTAAGTGTAATGTTTTTGTTATAGTTGTCTTTGAGTTTATGCTTCATGGAGATAGCTGAGCTTTGTAGACCTATAGATTAATGTTCATAAAAACTTGACAGTTTTTGTTCAATATTTCTCTCCACTCCTTACTCTTGTTCCTACATTTTAGGGTCCTCTGAAAATCAGTTTTTGTCGAAGGAATCTTGGGTGTTTGGGAACAGGCAGTCAACACTCAGCCAAATTGTTACCAGCCCTGGATTAGCCTTTATTCCCTTGCTCCTGGAGAGTTTCAAGAGTGTGGTGACAGTTGAGTTCTTTCTTAGAACTCTTGACACGTGTGCAGATACCTGGGAATATACTGAAGCTTTTAAAAAGCCCCTTATAGCCATCTTTTTCAAGTGTTCCTCTTTTTTTGGGGGGGGGGGGAGTTAGGGGTCAAGCCCAGGGCTTTGTGCATGTTAGCCAAGCATTCTACATTCTTGGCCCTCAAGTTGTAAATTTTACATTTTTTTCTGGTTATCCTATTTTTTGCTACAGCTCTTACTATCTCAGGCAGTGGCAATATTCAGCAATTGCCTATAGTTATTTTTAACAAACAACTTCACGTAGAAAAGAGCTGCTCACATTAGGTGTGCTCCAAAGTCAGAACCAAGTGGAGGTACCCTGACCAGTGAGGTGGTCCAGGGACTACTACAGAGGCCCCTCAGTGGTCAGTGCTCTGGGCATGGTAACTGGAGGATGTCCAACCCACGTGCTGCCCTCCAGTGTCTGCCAGGCTACTTAGTTTGCATCACAAATGCAGACTGTTTGTTTTCAGGGGGAGGATGGACATAGCATAGTTTAGCCACCAAGCAGACACTTCTTACTGAGGCTTAGGGTTTGTTCAAAGTGCTGAGAATTAAAGTAAGGGGCTCATGCACGACAGGCAAGCCCTCTACCTGCCTCAGAGGTCTTTATTCTGCCATTTTTGCTGACATTTGTCTAATGGCAATTCTAAGTGAAATATTTCTTGTGTGTTTACCAGCTGGAATTCTTTTAAAAACTTTCCTTTATGGGCTGATTGGTTATTTGAATCATTTAGGGACAAATGACAGGATAACTGCATGGTTAAGGTCTTTATTTAATTAACAAATTCAGAGATTTTTTAACCTCTTCATTTTAATGGAAAATCATGTTTGGAAATCACACTGTCTACATATGCTTTTTCCTGAGAAGTTATAAATTTAGGGCTTTCTCAAGAACAGACATATGAAGTAAGTTATTTTTAAGAAAGACTTTGAACCTTTTTTGGTTTTTGATTTGTTGTTCTTTTTTCCCCCCTTTGGTTTTCTGAGACAGGATATAAAGCTATATAGATTAGGCTGGCCTCAAACTTAGGTCCTTCTCCTGCACTCAGCCTCTTGAGTGCTGGGATTACAAGCATGTATGACCATGCTCAGCTTGAAAATTTAGTTGAAGTCATAAATTTGTATTTTTTTTTCTTTCCATAGTGAAGATAACAGGTTGTTTTTGTTTCATTTTATACTAAAACTCTTGGCTGCTGGCATTTCTTTCTACACGATATATTTAATTTTAAAATAATAGACTACTTATGGAATTTACACTGTTTATTTCATCCTTCCTTTCTTTGAATATGTTTTATCAGCGCACGTCTGCAGTGCATGATGTTGACATTCCTCATGAGGAAATAGAGCTTTAACACAACACATTTAGCTCCTTTTCTCACTGGCCCCTTGGTTTCCTTTGCTTTTGTCCCATTTCAGGAAGATCTAGTTCCCTACTAAAAGTATTATCTTTTTTTTTTCATTTTGCTTCTTATTTATAACATGAATTTGTCACATAAGGGGAATCATGTAACATTTAAACTTGTGGACCTGATTTTTCATTTAACATTATGGTCCTGAGGCGCATCCATCTATAGAGGCCTCCCCTCTATAGATGTCTGTAGACAGTGTACCCCTCTTTGTGGTAGGCTGCTACTCCATTTTATATATACTGTATTTTTTGTCCATCTGTGGTGGACATATAGGCTGTTTCCAAGATTGAGCTCTTATCAGTTGTGCTGCTATAACCATGGATGTGCATGGGTTCCTGTAACATGGTGACTTTAACCCTTTTAGGAAGATACTAGAGAGGAATAGGCAGGTCAGATATCAACTGGGGCTATATAGTAATAATCTGTTTTAGCAAAACCTAGAAAGCACTCAAAGGTCCATCAGTGATAAAATTGTTAAGTTATTGTATAGTCACACAATGGAGTATGGCACTGAGAGAATTAATTACAGATACATGCAGTGATGCAGATATTCCCAAAATTGTATACAAGGAATCCAGACACAAGCGTAAATTTTTCATATTCATGCGTACAAATCAAGTATGAACAGAAGCAAAACAACTGTTCTGAGGGAAATAATGTTAGGGAATCGGCCTGGGGAGTGGAAGACACTCTCACTGTCCGTCTTCTGGGTCCAGGCTCAGTGCTTTGAGCTGAGTGCACCACCACCACCTGGAGCGCACGCTGGCCAGAGCCAGGCTCTGAGCTGCTACTCTGGCCCTTTTTATTTCGAGATGAGAGTGCGCTGAGTGGCACAGGCTGGCCTTCAGACTGGGAGCGGCGTGCCAGGGACTGCCGGCCGCAGCTGTGACCTCAGCCCTTTCGTTTTCCAGGAGGACATGTGCCTGCCAGGGGCTGGACCCAGAGACCTGCGGTGCCTCCTTCTCTTTTGGCTGTTCATGGAGCATGTACTATAATGGGTGTAAGTTTGCCAGAAGCAAGGTCCCGAGGAAGTTTAAACTACTTGGAGATGACCCAAAAGAGGTTGGTTTACTTCCTGATACTCAGCCTGGCTTTCCTGGAGAAGGGGGCGGGGGCATGGGTGACGTGGGCAATATGACTGTCCTGTGGGGGTCTCATTAACCCAGGGGCTTTCAGCTCCAGTGAATACAGTTTTCACTCAACAGAGAGCACAGTCAGATCTTAGGAACGTAGCTATGCCTCACCAAGGCAATTGATACAACCCGAGCAGATCATTCTTCCTATGTATGTCATTCTGTATTTATTCACTGTGGTAATCTAGGTTTTCAAAGGGCTGTGTCTTCACTCTGTTATGGGAGTCATGCTCATGGCTGCCACATTCAGAAAAGACCACTTCTGGTCATGTTTCCATGCTACATGATTTAAAGTTAGCATAATGAATTTACTCCAGTAACTAAAATACAAGTTTTTGAACACTGATTTCTCATAGTGAAGCCACTGGCATTTTTCTTGCATCCAGAGTGCGTATTGCGTATAATACAATTTTTAAATTGATATCAAATTTAACAGCACAGGTCTAGAATGTGCTAACTGAGTGATCAATAAACCTCAATACATTGTCAGGAATGTCGATACGTGCTTGTTTTCCCAGCTACTCAGCAGGCTGAGGCAGGAGGATCCCAAGCGTGGCGCCAACCTGAGCAACTCAGTGAGACAGTGAAAAAGAAAAGCCCTGGGGGGTGTGGCTCAGCCAAGAATTCACATCCTCAGTATTTCAAAAAGAGGAGGGAGGGAGGGAGGGAAGGAAGGAAAGAAAGAAAGGGAAAGGAAAGATGTCAGTATATTTAGCATTTGGATCAGACCAAATTTTATATTTTAAGTACAGTTAAGATTTTTGCTACAATGTTCAGTCAGGAAGATCCTTGTGAGTTTGAGACCAGTCCTAGCCATGAAGTGAGTTCAAGTCCAGCTCAGATTGCATAGCAAGACCCTGTCTCAAAAAAAATTATGCTGTAGATAATTATACTGTGTTTCTGTAAAAGGAGAAAGTCATACTTTACTATTGGTATAATAGTAAATTGATAGTGAAGCACAAAAGCCCGCTCAACCTAAACTTTTTGCAAAAGGACATGATGTTTTCAGTATTTATGGAAGCTAGGCATCTCTTCATAAGAACATATTTAATAAGCATGAAAAGCAGCGATGCACACTCCAGTCTGAGCTGCTGTGGAGAGAAACACGGCTTTGACCACTCTCCCCGCAAACACACTCAGCAGCTGGAGGCCTCCCCGCTGCCACACAGAGGGGCTCCACGCGGACACGGCACCTTCAAGGTACAGGTCCCTCTCTACACAAAACACTCCGAGGAGCAAGGCCTGTTTAACCATTGGGGCCCCACCAGAGGCCGTCAGCAGAGATCGAGTCCCCGCAGTGTCCCTTGCACGGGCAGCCACCCACTGTCGGCCCCGAGGATGCAGAGCAACTTGGAAACCAAGCAGTTTGAAATGAGATCATCCACGTAGGTTAAAACCTGCGTTATCACCCACCGTTTCCAAAGGCAGAGTATTTGGAACTCCATCCTTTAAGTTAAGAGCAGGAGTCCATGGAGTCTCACCATCTCCTCTTGCAAAGGGACTTTGCAATTGTTCTTAAACTGAGCCCTGAGAATTCTGTCAATCTCTGGAGTGTACAAGGATGTTGAGTTCTTTGGAGATCTGTGTAACCTTGGAAACGCTGTCTCTAATTGCTGTAAGACACGAAGATGGTAAATGGATGCATGAAGCCCCCAAGCCCTCTGAATGTCCCTCTTGCTCAGCAGGTGACAAGATAGTGAGATGAAAAATGTGACTCCTTGAGGGCTTGGAGCTTCATTCACCTCCCACACCCAGCAGGTCTGTAGTTAGCTGTGTGCAGTGGCCAACCAACCGAACATAGCTAACAGTACACACAAAGCAGGTGGCATTAGAAAGCCACCTTCAGATGATTCTTCAGATGACTTAGTTGCTTAATAGGAAAGACAACTAGAAGCACAAATGTTCCCCTCAAGATCTGTTCAGAGTGGAAAACCTTCTGGGTTCTTTTCTGTAGTTTGCCTTGTATAAATTTGGACAAGAATAGGGGCTGGGGATTTAGCTCAGCGGCATAAGCACCTGCCTTGCAAGCAGGCAGTTGTAAGTTTGATCCCCGGTACTGATAAAAAAAGTTAAAAAAATTTTTTTGGACAGGAATTTCAAAAATAAACATGAAAGAAGAACCTTTTTTAATTCATGAAAAGAAAAGGTGCTTTACATCCTGCATTGGAGGGAATGGTATAACAGTCTTCATAATATATGGAAAACAGATTCAGAATTTAATATGTTAAATTGTTCATTTTATACAGGAAGAGAAATTAGAGTCACACTTGCAAAACCTGGCCACACTGATTGCACCAATATACAAGAAACTGGCGCCCGATGCCTACAACAACCAGGTGAGTTAGAATAACTACCTGCAGATTTACTAACTTGTTCATTATGGATGACATGCCTTATTCCAAAAGTATTCCCAGGTTCACTTATTTACTTGGTACCAGGAATTGAACTCATGACTTCACGCTTGCCTGGCAGGCACTGTGCCACGCAGCTAAATCCCCGAGCCAAAAACAGTAATTTTCCTTTACTTTTATAACTCTTCCTCTTCCTAACTGCTGCAGCCTCTGTCGTGCCTGGCATATGAAAACTGTACCATACAGAAGGACATATGTTGGTCTTCGTAGTTTTTAAAGACAATGAGTTTTTAGACTCCTGGCTGTTCTAGCCCCTCATATCCTTGTTCTCTCAGAGATAATGTTGCCTCTTTAGCCGACTTTGGTGATCACATTAAAATTCTGTGGCTTCAGTTATGAACTATTTTTCATACGATGCCTCAAGCTGTGCACATACTGCACTGTAAGCATACGTGTGTGTCGCACTACGTCACATTTTCCCACCTTTGGTTGGTTTGGCCTCTTTGCACGACATTTATTTTCCTGCCTACTGGACATATTTCAGCTGGTAGTAGGTGATTTTGTCAGAAGTTGCTCATGAGAAAGACAAAAGACTATGAAGTCACAGCGACACCAATGAGGAAGGAAGCCCTGAGCGATTTATTCATTGAAGATCCTCAGTGTGGCTTCTCGTGGTTAAAAATTGCTTACTAAGGGAGACAGAGACAGCGAAGAGCAGTTATCAGTATATTACAAATGTGTGACAGCTGCACCTTACTCGAGGCTGGGTACCACGTGGCCATGTCACCCTCACACATAGCACGTGTAAAAAACATCCAAAGCTGTGGGCTGTACCATAATACTGGCTGTTTGAGCTTTACCCCGCTCCTCTACTGAATTCTCTCATCTCACAGCTGAACATTTTTCTTTGATTTATTCCTTGATTTCATAGCTTTTTCTTGCTGTGGCAAGCTTTATAAGGTCTTGACAGCATCTCTCCAGTCCTGTGGAAACTTTTCCTCTCATCTGTGTGGTAGGCATATACTTCGCTCTTTTTCTATGATTTTCTCATAGGTTTAGTTCTCAAAGTTATGCACTGTCCATCACTTGTGGAGATGGAATATAGCCAAATGCTGTCCTAGGGTACTTTCTGCGATGGGAATGTTATGCATGTGCCATTTAGTATCGTAGCCACTGGGCACACAGCATTAAATGCTAGCTGTGTGGCCATGGTAAGCATCTGAGCCCGGGAGAAAGGAAACCACGCACTTGGAATTGCCGTTCAGACTTAGGAACAGATTTCCAGGGATCCAGTCATAATGTGCTGCGTGTGCCCAGTGGGAAATAATAGGAAACCATCAAGTTTTGTTGGATCGCAAGTTCACCACCTACCTTTGTGGCATGAAGAGTCAGCTTCGCTGAGAAGAGGTCCTGATGGCCTGGGAGGCTCCACTTGAGTCCCCAGGGCACTGACCAGAGACTGCGTGTGGAGAAACCACCACTGCTGGGGAGGAGCCATGCACAGAGCCAGACAGGACGATCCTTTGAGCTCCTAGCGGACCTAAAATGACTGTTCCTACCAGCCAGCAGGAGACTTCCCAACACAGGACGTGGAGAGGAACAGCACTTTCCCAGAGATGCTGCTTTGCGAGATGCAGATTTCGCTGCGCCAGGGCCCATCTAAGCACTGCAGATCAAGACTTTAAAGGATCAAGTTGATTGAAGGAATTTACTACAGAGAAGTTTTTCCTTTAAATCTAACAACCAATAGGGCATAATTTGCAATGTCCAGCATCCCATTCAAAATTTGCCAGAAAAATCCCTAAAGAAGATGACATACAGTGAGAGAGAGCAGACATCTGTCAGCACAAGTGTCCCAGCAATGACACCGCTGGCAGAATACGAAGGCCTGGGATTTCACATTCTGGACATTCGGTGAATCATGGGAAACCTTGAACCATGAACATATTGAGGATAAGAAGATCTGTAGTAAACTGCTAAAAATGAAACATTATAAAACCTAAATAAAAATACACTAGGTGGAACATTAACAGCAGCAGCTTAGCAAACTCAAATCCTAGCCATGAGTAGTTTCCAATATGAAGGCAACAGACAAAATTGAGGAGAAATGACCAGAGGCCTATATATATATATGCTGAATGTGTAATTGAAGACCTACAAGTGAGACATTTTCTTCAAAATTCTAAAAGTAATGGGCAAAATTTTTTCGAATGTCTCAGAAAATGATTGTGTACACTCATAGATATGAGAACATGGCAAAATTTTAAAAGCCACAGCAAAAACTATATAGAAGCATCTTAATTTGTTTAGTTAGTGCTACAGAAAATAAAATTTTATGTGGACTTATTCCATGTGGAAAGTTACCACGAAGACATGAGACTGTATGTCACAAAACGAAGAAAATATAGAAGGTCTTTTAAATACTAAAAGAAGTGTGTGCGTGGGGCTCTAACTCAAATCTGTAACCAGCACAAACAGCCCGCAGAAGACAAAATACCATTTTTTAGACATCAAAGCTGAAGGAGTTCACCCCTAGCAAATTAGCATCTTAAAATGTAAAGGAAGTGGTTGGGGAGATTGAAAATCACATATAAGCATATAAGATAGAAACCTGGGTTTTTTGTTTTGGTTTTCTGAGACAGGCTCTTACGGCATAGAGTTCAGGCTGGCACTGAACTCCCCAGGCCTCCTGCCTAGCCTCCCAAGTGCTGAAGTGTCTTTAAAGACAACTTTTATTTCAAAATCTATTCACAGTGCCCACTGAGATCCATAGCATGCCTAAGTAGCACAGAATCTAGGGACTGGGATTGTAATGTTGTAAGCTTTTATGCTGTATATGGGCTCATATATTACTTGATTGTTGACTATGTAGATCTTTAAGAAACACCACGAAAATGTGGGTAGGTCAGACAGTAAAGAGAAAAGTGGAACCATCTCAAAAGCATTTTAAATAGATGGAACAAAAAAAATTAGGCAGATAGAAAATAAATAGATGATATATTTAAATCCATCCATATGCCTATTATATTATATTTAATAAGTGGTATTAACACACCACTGAAAAGGCAAAGCTAAGAAAGCCCCTTTAACCGTAGAGACATAAGCTAAAAGTTGCAAGATAGGAAAAAATACATCCTGCTCACATTGGTCAAAAGAAAACCTGAGCAGCTATAAAGACGGTAGATTTTATTACAAGAACAAAGAATGCCATTTATTAATGGGATTAACATCGAGAGAACATATTTCTAAATTGTTACAATTAACATCTTCAAATTTATGAAACAAGCAAATAATAAAAAACCCACAGTTCATGAGATTTAAATATATCTCTTAATAATTAAGTAGAAAGCAAAAGAGAGTAAGACTTAACCAATTTACAAAGGCATTATCAATAAAAATTTAAAGCTTCAATTATAGATAAATGAAAAGAAATTAAAAGCCTGTAACAGAAGGGTACTTTAAAAAATTTGTATCTGGAAATTGAGAAGCATACTTCTAAATAATATGTGGGCCAACAAAAAAAGTCACCTAGGAAATTAAAAAATAAAACTTAATGGATAGTGAAGTGTGTAAGGTATGCATATACGCTGAGATGCATGTAACATTGAAACAAATGTAAAGTTTCAAGTCAAGGAACTATGTGTGTACCCTAAGAAATGTGAGAAACAACAGTTAAACCCTATGGGTAGAAGAAAGGACAAACTAAAGGCAAAAACAGAAATTAGTGAAATAAAATAGAAAGTGTGTATACAGTAAACAAGTGAGCCCAAAAGCTGGTACTTTGAGATAGTTTAATCAAGTGCAACAGAGATGAATAAATTACCTATACACAGAATTGGAGACAAAGCCAGGTGTGGGAGCGCACACCTGGAGGCTGAGGCAGGAAGACTGTTGCAAGTTCAAGACGAGTGTGGACCACAAAGTGAGCTCATGGTCTACCTGAACTTACCATGAGACCCTGTCTCAAAGGCAAAAAAGAGCAGGGGTGTAGGGCAGTGTATACCCACCTCCTGTACACGCGCATGCGCGTGAAAGACCATTCATAACTTTGTACCAATACATTCAGACAGTTTTATGAAATTGAGCCTCTAAAAGACAGCAGAGCTCACTGAGGGAAAGCAAGCCAAGCCCATGACCAGCCCCGTCTCTGACACGTTAATTTGATTTGTGGCTGAAAGCCTGCAACAAAGAATACCACGCCCATGTGAGTTTCCAAACTGTGGAAATTCTTCCAACATCAGAAAAGCTGTAAGTGCTTCCCAGTTCATTCTCCACAGCTGGTAACACCCTACTACTGGGACTAGAGAAAGGCATTCAAGGAAAAGAAATCCACAGTCCAATGTTTATGACTGTGGATGTTAAAATCCTTCACGCATCAGAGCCAGTGAACAGAAGAGAGAAAATGGAGCTCACATCAGGCGTGACATATTTGGCTCGAAGTTATTTGCCATCTTAACAGATGTGTAAGAACGTACAATTCCTCAGCAGATGCAGAGAAAGCATTTAGTCAGTATTCTACATCCATAGAAAGCAGCCTTTCCTCTACAAAAAGTACAACTCTGGGAGCTAAGTCACAATTTCTCTCCCAACATTAAGGCCAAGACAAGCATGTGAATTCTTACTACTTCTCTTATTTATAAATGTTTCCAGAGAAAGCCTCCCCCCAAATCTAACAATAACTGCCATCTCCTAGAACAATTTGGAGTGAATTTGCTCACCAGTAGCTGTGGTGAGCACCACAGTGTGGTCTTCAGCTGCATACTGTTTCTCTCAGGGGAAGAAAACACACTAAATCATCCCCAAGTTTGGAGCATTCAATCAGTGATAGCAGCGAAGCCACCAGATGTGTGCACCTGATTTCTGTGACGAACCCCGTAAAGTGGCATTGGCTGGTGGAGTGCTTTCTGTAATGAGTGCGGATTCACATAGACTTTTGCCAAATTTTTGCCTAAGAGTTTTGTGTTCTTGATGCTAATTTAGTTGTTGGTTATTCTTATTTCAATTTTCAATTATTGTTTGTATATGAAAAATTTTTATCACTTTTCTAAGCTCCCTAAGTAGTACTAGGGGATTTGTAAGGACTGCAGTGCCCTCAAGCTCTTCAGGCAGAAGAAGCCGTAAGCTGTATTCTAACAGCCACACTGGTTTTACTTTCAATCACATCAGTCTGGGGACAACTCAGTAATCCATCAGCTGGTGCCATGGCAGATGTCTCCCATTGCTTCTGGGTGACTCTGCTCACTGCTAAATGTAAGTTCTTCCAAACTAATGAATGAATTTGGTATCAAAGTTTAAGCAAGCTTTTTGAAAAACACTGTCAAAATGGGGGAATAAAAGCGTTCAATATACAGTGGTACTGCAGTCCACAAACTTTTGTTCCATGATTCTGGAGAAGGTGGCCTTGATTGTGTTTGTCACCCAAAGCAGAGTTTGAGAATGGAAGCAAATTTGCCCAATGTTTCTATTTGCAAACCAAATTGTTCACAAACAGAAATGTTCACAAACTGAGGTATTAACTGTGTGTGTGTATATGCACATGCATGTGTGTATACATGCATGCAAAGGATCCATAATAGTCAATTTTTTGAAGGGCAGATTTAAAAGACCTGTACCACTTGATTCCAAAGAGCACAAACACCCCCCACTTGCTGGTAATCAAGATACATCATTACTGATGTGTGCACACACATCATTACCAAATGGATTAGAATGATTCCATAATTATGCTCAAGTGATTTTTAGCAAAGGCAGTTAAGTCAGAAGGATAATCTCATCCAGTGGTATTTGAACAATTGAATCGACAGGCAGAACACACACACCCAAAAAAGTAAACTTGATCCTTAATTCACACCATATATAATTAACTCCTACAAAGGGATCCATTTAAAATACAGACTTATCTATAGTGGCAGAAAACAGAGCAGTAGCTTTCTTCTGCAAATAAAGTAGTAGATAAGAATTGTACAGGGGGCTGGGGACTAAGCTCAGGGGCATAAGTGCCTGCCTGGCAAGTGTGAGGTCATAAGTTTCATCCACAGTACCCCCTCAAATTCCGAAGATGCCAAAGGAAAAGTTTAGGTTTAGTGGCAATCATAGATTATGTTGTATATGACAATGGTTATGCAGGTGCAGTTGCATGTCAAAAGCGCTCATGTAGAATACCTTACACACATGCTGCTTAGGAGTGATTACTGTGTGCTGATGCCACAGCACGTTAGAGTGCCTACCTTTTGTGTGTGAGCCCTGAGGTATGTCCAGAAGGATCCAGAACCACCAGAAGGCTGTGTCAATTATTCTTTAATAACTGTATTGACCACGTTGAGCAGCTGGCTGTGTTTTGGATTGTTCCGTTTTGTTCCTGGATGTCAAGCGCAGAGCACTCCTCAGGGCCCAGGGCCGGGCACAGGCTGGGCACACGGGGAAGCTTTTGTTCAGGTGTGAGGCCAGCCCCACTCATGTGCGCTCTGGTCTTCCCAGGTGGAGTACGAGCACAGAGCCCCCGACTGCCGGCTGGGGCTGAAGGAGGGCCGCCCATTCTCTGGGGTCACCGCATGCTTGGACTTCTGCGCCCACGCCCACAGGGACTTGCACAACATGCAGAACGGCAGCACAGTGGTGAGTGCCCTGTGGTGGAGCTGTGAGCCACGGCCCCAGGGGGCACTTTTTTGGCTTAAGTCATGCACTCCCACCAGGTGGGCACAGTGGGGGAACCTCAGTGACAACAGCCGTGGGGCCCTGGGGATTCTGTGCTAAGCTGAGCCGGTTTCCAAGCACCACCTGTCCAGTTAGTCACCGGGAACCACCCTCCCTTTGGAGTCTGCTCCAGAGGTCACACACAGTTGAGCAGAAAACCATTTATAAGCCAAGGCACCTGTCACCATGCAGCATGGCACAGATGAAGGACACACTGTCACCTTTGCCTTGTGTACTGTAGTGGACCTCAATGCAGTGGACCTTTCTGACTAGTGGGTCCAACGGAGAGGAGCAGGTGTCGGGTGGCAGCTGTGATGGGAAGAATGTGGATGAGACCTTAAAGGGGCGCCTGTTCCCTACTGAGGAAGCCCAGTGCTTTGCCTTCCTGTAAAGAGACCATCCACCGGGGGTAGATTAAAGGGAGGGAAAGTAAAGATCCAGAGCCAGCCATGGGCCTACGTGCCCATAGTCCCAGCAGCTCAGAAGGCTGAGTCAGGAGGGCCACTATGAGCTCATGAGTGCAAGACCAGCCCAGGTAACATAGTGAGATTTTGTCTAAAAATGAACAAAAAATTCTGGTGAAGAAACCTTCAACTATAAATGAGTTGACCTAATGCCTTTCCAACCCAGATACAGGGAGAGTTGAGGAAGATGTCCAGGGAGACTTGAGATGAAACATAGATCCCAGGCAGTCAGGTCATTGTAGGATGTCAGGGGACGCAAGCCAGGGCACTTTGAGGACTCGAAAGTTTTGTGGAGAACTAGAGAGGGTATTAGCTTGGAGAACTGTGAAGGCAGAGAGTAATTCAACCCCTTAGACATGCAGAAGCTTAATGCCTCCCTCCCCCCAGGTGTGCACGCTCACGAGGGAAGACAATCGAGACCCGGATAGCACGCCTGAGGACGAGCAGCTGCACGTGCTGCCTCTGTACAAGATCTCCGACGTGGACGAGTTCGGGAGCGCGGAGGCTCAGGAGGAGAAGAAGCGCAGCGGTGCCATTCAGGTGCTGAGCTCCTTCCGGCGGAAGGTCCGGATGCTGGCAGAACCGGCCAAGACCTGCAGGCAGAGGAAGCTGGAGGCCCGGAAAGCGGCCGCCGAGAAGCTGTCCTCGCTGGAGAGCAGCGCCAGTAAGACTGAGAAGGAGAAGGCGGCCGCTCTGCGGACAAAACAGGCCGAGGCTGCAGGCCAGGCCAAGCAGCTGACAGGTAAACAGGGCAGCGCAGGCAGGCGCAAGGTCGCATCCCTGGTGGTCTTAGCTGCTTACCAGAATCTCCCCTAATGCAACAGTGACCCGGCTCTACCCTTGGGAATGTGGACCTGGGGTAGATGGAGAAGTTTGTTTGGATTTTATTCCATTAATGCTTCCAAAATGAAAAAAGTCACACACTGGTGACAAAATGTTGGAATGAAAGACCAAAAAGCTTACAAGTGACTCCTACTGGCCATGGTGATGCTCCCTAGGGAAGCTGAGGCAGGAGGATCATTGCAAGTTTGAGGCTAGCCTGGGCTACACAGTGACACTGTCACAAAAAAGAAAAAAAAAAGGGAAAAAAAACCTTAAGTTTAGGGCTGGGGATTTAGCTCAGTGGCATAAGCACCTCCCTTAAGCACTCAGTCCTGAGTTTAATCCTTAGTACCAAAAAACAAAAACAAAAACACAGCTTAAGTTTTAATCCTGGATTTGATATAAGTTTGAAAAAGTCTTTTCCTTAGCGGCATTGAGTCTGTGTTTTAGGAGTTTACACGTAGCTGCTCTAAATCTCATCAGTAGAAGAATCGCCTGTAGCTATGGCAGAGAGCAGTATTGCTTACTGATAAGTTGATGCTCTCCAGGGCCCTTGGCCTCATGTCTACATTTGGCACTATAAAGAGAAGTCCAAATGGAAATTAACTACCAAAAAAATGTATCTTTCAAGTTCATACTAAGCTATCTAGAACAATAAGCCAGAGGTGCCTCCTGGCCTTCCCTGAAGAAATCAAGCCCATTCAAGTAGCTTACAGCTCTCCTTTAGGTTAGCTGCAAAGCAGGACCAGACAGCTCCATTTCTGGTCTCTTCTCACAGGTTCTTGGGGATCATAAATCACTTCTGGTCTCAAGCCTCATCGCAGTCCCATTTATTCATTAATCAAGGGGACTTCTGATGAGTGAGGTCAGGAAACAGAAATATGACTTTTAAAAGTTTCACTTAACAGGATAAATGTTTCTTTAAAGTATCATCTACAACCACAAATTTTCTTCCCAGAAAGGCTAATCATGAAGTAGCCTTTGTTAATTTTATTGCATGCTTTTTTATTTTTAAATAAATGTTATCCTTTGTCTTAGAAACAATGCCCCATCTTCCATGGCAAATCTTATGCTACTGCATTTTAATTTTATAATAAACATTGAGGTGGCCGCGGCCACCTGAGGCTGCAGAGATCTGCTCGCTTCCCTCCACGGACTTAGCAGTACGGTGAGGGGCAGCTAAACAGGATCATTCCCAACCCTTGAGATACTTGCTGGGGCACACTTGTGTTTGGTGGATACGACGGAAGTGCAGGAGGATGAGAAGCCCGAGGAAGGGAAGGTGGAGGGGGGCAGAGATGGGAGACTCCAGTGGCCCAGGTGCCTGGGCTCACCTTAGATTTGTGTTATGGGGTGTCCTGAAGTGTTTTTTGCTTTGGATGCTGTACACATGAAGGTTATGCTGCATGTTGATCAGAACCCTGACTTTGCTGTTGCATTGTGTTGTGGGGCAGTCGGACTCATGTCTTTCTCATTTGCATTGAAGCATCCTTAGTGAGCGCATGTGTTCCGCTCTTTCCCCACAGAACTTCTGCGACTTCCAGGACCAGCCACACAGCAGCCCCCACTGCAGAGGCAGCCCCCGCAGCTACAGCCCCAGCGGCCCTCTCAAACCCCCCAGCCGCCACAGCACACCTTTTCTGGGAAGCCCCAGCCGGAGTCCGTGGGAACCTATTCCTCTGCAGCCCCTGGCCTGTACATGCGACGGCCCAACCCAGTCAGCTCTTACCCCAGCTCCTCCCTCACGGCAGACATGTACAGGGGTGCCAGCCCTATGGGCATCTACTCCACCTCCCCCCAATCTGCAGGTTCGTATTTGAGTTCCTCTAATCCCATGAATCCTTACCCTGGGCTCTTAAATCAGAATAACCAGTACCCATCATACCAGTGCAATGGGACTGCGGCCATGGATAGCTGCACCCCTTATCTGGGCTCTTATGCTCCCCAGTCTCAGCCTATGGATCTGTATGGATATCCGGGCCCCGACCACCTTGCTAAGCTAGACCTCCCACCCATCCACAGCCTGTACCAGCAGAGGTTTGGAAACACCCAGAGTTTCCCCTCCAAGTACTTGGCCTATGGGACCCCAAGCGTGCAGGGTGATGCCTTCAGCACTTGTGCCATTCGGCCTGGCAGCCACCCCATTGGACCCTTTTCTCCCTACACCCCCCACGAGATGGATGGCCGCTTCATGGGTGCTGCCTCCAGATATCCCCCTGGCCTGGGCCATCCTGGTGTGGACTATAAGAATGGGGAGCACCATACGGCCACCCACCTGGTCTCTAACTACGGCGCGTCTGCAGGCAGCATCAGCAGCTCCCTGCACGCCCTGCACCTGCAGAACAAGGAGAACGCCGGGCTTCCACACACGGCCAATGGGCTGCCCAGGGGGCTCCCCCAGGACAGACCCCCATCCGTGCAGGGACTGCCACACAAGCTAAGCGAGGCCAGCAGTGAGGAGAAGCTGCCCGAGGCCCCTGAGGACAATGACGAGGTATGGTCGGACAGTGAGCTGAGCTTCCTGGACCCCGACATTGGGGGGGTGGCTGTGGCCCCCACCCACGGCTCCCTGCTCATCGAGTGTGCCAAGCGTGAGCTCCACGCCACCACCCCCCTGAACAACCCCGACAGGAACTGGCCCACCCGTATCTCCCTAGTCTTCTATCAGCACAAGAGCATGAACGAGCCCAAGCACGGCCTCGCACTCTGGGAGGCGAAGATGGCAGAGAAGGCCCGGGAGAAGGTGGAGGAGGGCGACCGGACCGGGCCCGACTGCACGGCCCAGAAGGCGCACGGCAAGAAGGTGAAGCGGGAGCCGGCAGAGCCGCCCGAGCCCACCTACCTGCGCTTCTTCAGGTCCCTGGCCGAGAAGACCAGCTCGATGACCACCGACTCCACCATCACCACGGCGCCCTACGCCTTCACGAGGGTCACTGGGCCCTACAGCAGGTACATCTGACGGCCTGGCTGCAGTGGGGACCGGGGAGGGCGGGGGTGGCGCAGTGCTGACAGCAGGCCCCAGCTGGGCAGCGCAGTAAGCTCATCTTCCGAGGCGCTGAGACCCACGGACTGGTCAGCGATGGACTGGTCAGCGATGGACTGGTCAGCGATGGACTGGTCAGCGATGGACTGGTCAGCGATGGACTGGTCAGCGATGGACTGGTCAGCGATGGACTGGTCAGCGATGGACTGGTCAGCGATGGACTGGTCAGCGATGGACTGGTCAGCGATGGACTGGTCAGCGATGGACTGGTCAGCGATGGACTGGTCAGCGATGGACTGGTCAGCGATGGACTGGTCAGCGATGGACTGGTCAGCGATGGACTGGTCAGCGATGGACTGGTCAGCGATGGACTGGTCAGCGATGGACTGGTCAGCGATGGACTGGTCAGCGATGGACTGGTCAGCGATGGACTGGTCAGCGATGGACTGGTCAGCGATGGACTGGTCAGCGATGGACTGGTCAGCGATGGAGTCGGGAGAGAGACCAAAGCAGTCTATGCAAAACAGAAAAGGAAAGAAGTGGGGTGGGAGGGATGCTCCACCATTTACATTTTTAAACACTGGTTCTGTTATCGGGCGGGATGCTATGTAAATGTGATTCCCTCCTCCCCCCACCCCCACACACACAACTCTACACATCTGTGACCACTTTTAATAATACCGAGTTTGCGTCGTCATGGAACATAAATCAAGTACTGTAGTGTTACAGTTGCAGAAATCTTACAATACCATCTGGTGCTGAATCTAGGATGTACTGAAATACTGGAATTATGGTTTCTAACACGCAGTTTTTACTGTACTCTTAATATTAACTTTTATTTATCAAGGTAGCTCCAGGAAGCATAAAGGACAGCAGTAAAACACTGAATTTGTTTGGGTGTTCTATGAAATGGTGCTAAGAAAATGGTGTTTTTCATAGCTGAAAATTCAAATGCCTTTTTATGATTGAGATGTTACCAATGTACTCCAGCGCCCCGGAAAGAAAGGGGTGCCTTTTCATTCAAGTTTTTATCCCGAATTACCTGTTCCTACACAAGTTTCGTTTTTAAGATGTGGACATTTTAAAGGCCTCTGGATTTTGCTCATCCAGCCATGTCCTCTAGGACAATAAACGTATCTATGTACATCTCTACACCTGCCTTTGTATATGTGCACAGACAAATATATATAAATTTTTAAATGGTGTTTTAGAAGCACTTTGCCTACCTAAGCTTTGGCAACTTGAACAATGCTAAGGTACTGAGACGTTTAAAAACAAAGTTTACTTTTATTTGAGGATTTTTTTTCCTAAAGGAGACAAAGTTTTAAAACATTTTTGCTTTTGGTCACGTGTCTATTGATGAGCAATCATGTTCGTTATTAACACAGCCTGTTAAATCTGAAATGAGGCATATGGAAGTTCAAGCAACTGTCTCAGTCCACAAAGACGTTTTCTGGTGCTCACTCACAGGCTACACTGTCAGACAGTTTTCTGCCAAGGTGTGAGACAAGCCCATTGCTCAGACAGGTCAGCTGCAAGAACTTTCTGTTAGACACAGGCCATGAGGGGTTGCGTGCTCCGCACCCCACGCAGGAGAGCCTGTCCTGAGCCCATGCTGTGTAGGACTCTGTCCTCTGCTCGGAGCTGAATGGCGTCTGCCTTGGTGTGGATAGCTCTGTACCCTGGGGTGTTATCATGTCTTAGCTTAAAGTGTCCTCCTTCCCCGGAAGACCGGGTGGACTGATTCCAGCAAAAGAAAAATAAACAGGGTTAGTTCTGTGTGTGTCTGTTGGTTTAAAAAGAAATAAATAAAATAAAACAGGCAGCTGGTTTGCTGTAGTGGTTTTAAATCATTAATTTGTATAAAGAAGTGCAAGAGTTGTATAGTAAATTAAATTGTAAACAAAACTTTTTAAATGCAATTCTTTAGTATTTTAGTACTGTAAAATAAAATGAAATATATACTTATATAATATGGAATTGAATTCAAATTCACATCACGATGGTGCTACTCAGCCTGCTATAATTATATCATAATGTGAGCTGAAAATTCACAAAAGGGTTGAGTGATGTTTCTACTTGCCATATACCTCAACACTAGTTTGGCAATAGGATTTTGAACCAAGAGTGAAAGCTTATAGCGTTGTGTACCATCATTTTGTTCCAAGTCTTTTTATAATTTTTTTAAAAAATCTTTTTCTCAGTACTTGATTTCTTAGCAAGTATAACTTGAACTTCAACCTTTTTGTTCTAAAAAAAAAATCAGGGATATTTCAGCTCCCCTTATGCCAACATGTCACCTGTGTTTGTGTACAACTGTTGTAGGTTAATAAATATATTCTTTTTCAGGGATTTAACCCTCTTATTCTGAATCCCTCCTATTTTACTTGTACATGTACTGATGTAAGTAAAACTAATTTTTTGTAAATCTGTTGGCTGTTAATTGTAAAGAAAAGTGTAGAGACTCTTTTTGAGTATTTCATGGAGGAAAAAATATTAATTGAAAATAGAATGCACTGAGCTGATAAAGGGAAATTTGTAAGCTAGGAGTTTGGGAAGCAGCTGTTGGCCAGAGGACTGAAACTCTCCAGGCAGCCTTTCTGATGTGATGGTCGATACAGTAGATACTCCTGAGGATGCAGATACTCCTGAGGACGTCTGTGATTGGGCCTGACACCTGAGGCACAGCATCCAACAGGACTGTGCAGTTACATTCAGCACTAAGGACATTTTCCTCACTAGCTTTTCATATAAATTCTCAATCAGTGAAAACCTGGGTTTTATTGGTTAAATCTTTAATCCTTGCAGACTTTTTTGTTTTATTGTTTCAAATCTTAAAAATCAGTGGAGGCCTTTCAATTCTCTTGGTCAAATATTTATAAGATGATTTTTGTCTTTTAAAAAGCTCTCAAGTTTTTGGCTGTGTCCAATTTAGAAGCATTTTAAGCCATTTGCTTTGCATTCAGGTCACACGCTGGTACTGGTTTTCTTAACTGTAGTCTAACCAGAAGTACCCCGCCTGTGTCGGATGGTGCTCTCAGCCATCCAGTGACTTATTCGGTGACTGTGTCATCCACCATCATTTTCAAACTGCTGGCCAACAGGAGCAAGAAGTGTAGTCCAGGAGGGGGAAAAGAGTAGGTAGGCGGGAAGGAGGTTGAGTGTCACCTTGTAAATATCGGATCTATCACTGTACATATCTAGCCTGCCTCGTTAGAATGAATGGAAAGCTGAGTGACCGTCTGCTTACTCAGGAGTCAGGTGGACTCTGTAGCCACACCGGGAGGCACTTCCGTGGTGGCACCTTTACTTGAATGAATTTTTCATCTTGATTGACGCACAGTGACATCTGGCTCACTTCTAAAAGCTAATGGCTGACTTGGATAGGAAATGTTTGCATTTGGACACTAAGATAAATGAACTGCTGTGTGCATTTTTCTATGCTTTATTTTTTAACTTAGTCTCATTTCATTCTCATGAGATGTTCGGTTTGTCAAATCTGAGGGCAGTTATAAATACTGTAAAGTATTGTAATGTTATGAATGCAGGATATTTGAAAGCTGTTTATTATTATATCATTCCTGACAACGCTATGTGAGTGTTTTTAATAAAATTTATATTTATTTAATGCACTTGAAGTGTCATGTTGCTGGGGTTTCTGTATTTCTTGAGGGCCCACTGCCTCTCCAAGGTTACAGAGCATGAAGAGATGACCGTCTACTCTTCTGTTTGTAAAAGGTCTCCCTCTTTCCTGTTTATCTTCTATTTTGCTCTTTATATATGTTTTTAGTTTCTCATGTAAGCTGGGGTCTAATTTTCTATGATGGTCTCAGGGTGCAGTAGTACTCCATTATGTAAAAATGCCATTTTCTATCTATTCATCTGTTGATTGAAGGAAAACAAGAAAATGGAGCTTTTTCAAATGGTAAAGGAACCGAGATTTGGAAGGCTCAGGGAGCAAGCAAGGCACAAGGAGTAACACAGCAACAATGAAAAGAAAGATGTGTTATGCGTGTGCACCGACTCCAGGTAACAAATGTAATCATTATGCGTGGCAAATGTGGGCTAATGAAAGAGAAGGCAGGATCGCTGGGCTTGAGGCCAGCCGGGACTACACAGTGAGTTCAAGTCGTAACCTTCTTATCTCAAGAAACCAAAGGTAAATCTATCCAAGTTTATTATCCAGATAAATACATACCTGAGTGGGGTAGATGCTGGCTCACACATCCCAGCCTAGCTCTCAGCCTGTTTGCCTGGTGCATGTAGAGGGCAAGTGGGGTGGGAACAGGGCAGCTGGGTCTGCAGGGATCTCAGAGGAGGACTGCTGAGTCTCACAGCTCATGCCCATCTCTGCCTCACACTCAGCTTCCTATTGCAGCCAGCCCTTGCCCACCAGGACAGGCAAGAGGTGGCATGCCCAGGAGGGCAGAGGGCGTCGGGGTCGCCACACTGGTGCCCTGGTCCTGACCCACATGGCCGAGAAGTTGTTCACATCACTGTCACAGAGCCCGGCAATCCCAGGTCCCCTACTTCCCTGGCTACCCAGTTTGATTCAGGGAGTGAAACAGAAATGAGCATCAGACCTTTTAGCACCCTCTGTGCTCCCTGCCTGGGAGATTCACCTGGGGCCTATGCCCAGCCTGCATGAGATAGTGATTTGTTTTTCATTTTTCCTTAAACCCCAACCCACCAGATGGATGTCCACCCTCACGCCCCCACCTGTCCTGTGACTGGACAGGGGAAACCTCCACGTGCACAGTAAGTCTCCACTGCCTGGCACAGGGAGAGTTTTAGATGACAGATGCAGAAGCTTGTCCTGCCAGGGCCCTGTCCTGAGCCAACTGGCCAGCTGCACAGGGCCCTGGCCAGTGGGGAGGGCTGCTGATGAGCCCACGGGACTCCGACAGAGGAGACCGCTGGGGACAGCGAAGCGTCCACCACTCCCATCACTGCAGGAAGAAGTGCAGAGGGACAGCGCACAGCTTAGGGTTAGCCTGCGGCTTCTCTCTGGCTGTGTGTTTCATGGTTCACTGCTTAGCAAAACCTCCCCACTGTGGGGCAACCCAGCTGGGCTCTAACTCCTCCCTGACCCTGCCCTGTATGCCCAGCCACACAGAAGAGTCACTATGCTGCAGGGCACTAAGATTTCCAAAGGGAGCATTGGTGTGAATGCCATGGAGAGGAGAGTGCCCACCAAGGACAGCCCTGCAGGAGCCTCTTAGCTGTCATAAGGTGACGGCTGTGCTTAGTGTGTGGGGTTTCCTCCTAACTTCCGGCTCCCAGGATCCGGGAAGGGTTGCTATACCTTCTGCCCGCACGCCTTCCTTCCTTCCTTAAAAACACTCTAGCTGTTGCACTGGACACAGGGACGGAAGGCACTCAGGAAAGAGTTAGCTGCATTTCTCACTATTTCCCTTTGCCACATATAGTTCAGTTGCAGAGACCTTTCTGTTGTCACATGTTTGAAGTCACCTCTCTTACCAGCTAGTTTCTCACAGACTTCTTTGGTCATTAGTCCAACTTTCACTCTTTGAAGAAGGCCCTGTTCCTTGCATCAGACTTAAGGAAAAAGGCTTTCTTTCAGTCTTTTTTATGCTGCAGTGGAGACGGGGTGGAGTCATAAGATCGCAGGGCCTGTGTCCCTGTAGCAAGGTCCTCTCCAAAGGTCCCACCTCTGCTCCACTGTGGGAGATCATTTATTTAGTCATCTGAGGAGTGAGGCAGCCAGTTAGGCGAAGGGCCTGAGTCAGAGTGCGCTGACCAGCATTAGGGATAAGAAGACTTTGGACAAAGACTGAACGTCCTTAGTGTGCAATACAGCTGGCACTGCGGACTGAGATCCCTCAGGGAGGCACAACCACTTCCCACAAAGATAAGATCCCGAATTTCAAATTGTGATGTAAATTAATCAGCTCCTTCTGAGATTCCAGTTTACCATAAACATTGTGCAAGAGCTGGGCTGGACAGCCTGAGTCCCAGGTGGTCATTTAAATCCACAGAGCTGCCTGTGATAGGTGACCACTAAACAATCACATTCCTGTGCCCTACTGCCCTTAAGAAATTCTAGATGGAACAGAGGCCATGCAACAGACCTCTTTCCTGTCTCAAGCTATTCCTGTTCCCCAATAGGCCTTTCCTACTCTTAACCCTCTTGTCCTTTGGAATTCATCCTTCAATTTCACAGGACATAAACTCTGCCCATCTGACACTCAGCAGGTTGGGAGTTACACTTTTCCTATGTCATGAGGCTTAAGGGGGGGTATCTAGACATAAACCATAATATTGGTGTATAGAAAAGCCAGTGGTTTTTGTATCCTGCTACTTCAGTAAATTTAGTAGTTCAATAGTATTTAGGTGAATTTTGGCATTTTTCTACATATATGACATTTTTTCTGCAAACAGGTACTTTGGCTTCCTCTTTTCTTACTTGTATGCCTGATATTTCTTTGTCTACCTAACTAAAGAAGAAATAAATATCTAAGATGTAGACATAAAAAGTTTTAACCAAAGACTGGTGAAGTGAATTTAAGAGCACACTGAAAAGGTCCTGCACCATGATGAAGCTGGTTCCATCACAGAGTGCCAGGATAGCTCAGCATTTGCAGATCAATAAACAATAAATCACCTCAACAAAATAAAGGATAAGGATCTTATGGTCATCTCAACAGATGCAGGAAGACATTTGCTAAAATTCAATATACACTCATGGTAAATTTCTCTATGCATCAGAGACAGAGGATCAGACCTCTACATGATAAACACTATATACACGATGCCTACAGCCAATATCACACTGAATGGGGAAAAGCTGAAAGGACATCCTTTAAGATCAGGAGCAAGATGAGGGAGTCATTCTCACTGCTCTTAGCCTTCCAGAACTAGTAGTTTTAGCCAGAGCAATGAAGCAAGAAAATGGGAAAAAAAAAATGCACATGGATAGGAAAGGAGGTGGTCACACTACGGTTCTGTGCCAGTGATGTGCCTCTGTGCGTGGAAATGCCACAGAGACCCCTCAAAAGATTGTAAGAAATCATAAGTCTGTTAAAATAGCAAGACACAAAATCAATGTACAAATACCAATAGCTTTTCCAGACTTCAATAATAAATTTGTTGAGGAACAAATACCATTCTCATTCACAATAGGCACAAAAATAAAATGCCTAGGAATAACTAAGAATCTACAAAGAAAATTACAAAGCAGTGATAAACTGAAAATCCTCAATATGAAAAGACAATTTGCTTTTGTGGATTGAAAGAATAGTATTAAAATATCCATACTACTTAATCTGCCCTACAGATTCAGTGAAATCCCTAACCTAAGGAAATTTTTCACAGTGCTAGTAAAAATAATCCTAAAATTCATAAGGAAGCACAAACAGGGACAGAAGGCACTCAGGAAAGACTTAGCTGCATTTCTCACTATTTCCCTTTGCCACATATAGTTCAGTTGCAGAATAAAACTGAATGCATCATAATTCCTGATTTTGAAACAAACTAAAGAGCCATGGTAATCAAAATAGTATGGTATAGGCACAAAAACAGACACCTCGGCCACCTAATGGAATAGAAAACCTAGAAATAAACATATACATCTACAGCCAAATGATTCTTAAAAGAAGAAAAAAGAAAAAGTGCCAAAAAAAAAATCCATGGGAGAAAGGACAGCCTCTTTAACAAATCTTGCTGGGAAAACTGGACACCACATGCAGAAGATTAAAGTGTGACCCGTCTTTCCCTATACAAAACCTAACTCAAAGAGAACTGAAGACCATAAAATGTGAGAAATCAGTAGAAGAAATAATAGAGGAAACACATCAAGATTTGATAAAGACGATGATTTTCTGGACAGGGCCCCAAGAGCACAAGTGACAATGGGATTCTGTCAATTGAAACAGTTTCTGCTCATCACAGGATTGGATCAACAAAGGACAGGCAGCCCGGAGAGGGGAACATGCTTGCCAGTTATTCGTCCGGCAGGGCAAATCTCGAATGGGTAAAGAACTTGAAAATCATAGCAAGAACAAAAACCCCAAGAAAGCCCAATTTTAAATGGGTGAATGATCTGAAAAGAAAAAATACAAATGTCCACTTAATATATGAAAAAGTGACCAATGTCATTAGTCACCAGGAAAATGCAGATTAAAATTGTGAGATGCTATCTCACCCCAGTGAGGAGGGTAAAAGCCAGCAGGATGTGGATGAAAGAGCCTCTTTTCAATTACACATAGGAGTATACACTGGTGCAGTCATTATAGAGAAGTGTACGGAGTTTTTCCAAAAAACTGAAGAACTATTGTATAATCCAGGCACTGTCCTCCTGGGGACGCACCTAAAGGAACTGACATCATTATACCCAAGAGACAATTGTCCACCATGTTCCCTGCAGCACTGCTCTCAACAGCCAAGATACGGAAGCAGTCTAGGTGCTTATCAACAGATGCATCCAGAAAGAAAATGTGGTATAGATACACAGTGGAGTATTACACAGCCCTGAGGAATGCAGTCCTGTCACTTGCAGCAAAACAGATGGAAATGAATTCATTACATTAAGTGAAATAAGCCATGCACAGAAAGACAAGTATCGCACATCTTCTTTCACAGACAGATGCTAACAAAACCTGAACGTAGACTG